CTTGTTTTTCTTGGGCTAATAAGTAACTTTTTAAGTCTTTACTTGTTATTTGTTATGTTGATAAAAAAAATTTAAGTCACGCATGCGTATTTTAGTTATCATATTGCAATTACGAACGATCGAACTCGTGATATAGACGTTGAATTAACGTGGAATCAACGTCGATTTTATTTGCTAGTTTTAAACAAATTTTTCAACGTTGATACAACGTTGATTTTTGGTTATACGACGTCGCGGCTAAAAATCAACTGTAAATCAACGTCGAAATAACGTCGTGTGCCCACTGGGTACACACAGAAAAAACACTTGATTTTTTCTTATCAAGTTTAGTTATTATGCTGCTTGTTATATCTAATATTTTATACTGAGCTTATTTTGAGTTTATTTTTTATTATGAGCTTAATTTAAAGAATATATAAATATAGTTGTACTTAATATATAATTATATTTAACATAATCATAATATATATCAAACACATTGTAAGGGCTTCGTGATAAGATCATTACGATCTTCTTGAAGTCCGGCCTGTACTATTTAAGTATAAATTTCACTATATATTTTGACTCACGAGACTTGTAAATATTACTTTTAATTTACGAAACTTGTAAATGTTATATGTACGGCAAATATATGAATAAAAAAAAAAAAAAAAAAAAAAAGCAAAACCCTTGTCTCCTAGTAACAATCAAAACAAGGCCACACCTGAAGAACTGTTTTACATATTAGGCAAAGTCCAGATGCAAATATTGGATCATTGTAGTTGTATTCAGAAGATAAAAAAGTCTTTATAAAATGAATTAATAGAGGACTAAGTAAGGTTACCGATTTTCGGTAACATATTGCGCATACTTTTTGTCTTAGAATGACATGGAGAATAGTTTCGCATTTTATTCAAGCAGGTGTTTAAATTCTTTTGATTTTATATTATTTATGAAATATCTTGTTATATTAGCTATCATACAAGGAAATTTTAAATAAATAAATTACATAGAATAAAGTGTTTTCAATTAATAATTTGAAATAAACAAATAATAAAGTTATAAACATCTAAAGTTTTTCAATATAATAAATTTAGCATTTAAAAATTACTCTAAAAAACTTCTTTTTTTGTTTTTTGTAAAATGCCAAAATTTCATCAGAACGAAATGTTACAACTTTTTGCAATATATTTTTGTAGTCCTGTCGACTCCAAAAATATACAAGCTAACAATATATGTAAAGAGTTTTTGTGTACAATTTTTTTCAACCTAAAGTTCATTCAGCAACACTGTGAAAAGGTAGCTAAAACATTTTTTGAAATTATACTTTTATTATATTTGAATTTTACTTAAAACGCATTTCACAAGTGTTTATAACAAACTAATTAAAAATTAGTAAAACAAGTAAAACGCACAAAATCCAAACTAATAATAACTATTTATTGTTTATATACATTAATTTTGCAAAGAAAATACAATAGATCTAGTGCTTATTTTACGAATAAAATATGAAATGTTTAATAAAATAAACAAAAACATTGCAAAGCAGCCATCTTAGAGCAGCCATTATTAGTGAGTAATTTATCTTGATTAAAAAATTTATTACAAAAAAACATGAAATTTCGTGATTTAATCGAGTCATGCGTACAAATATTATATAAGCCCAGGGCATTCGAGAGGATAAAAATGTGCTGGGGCAAAACTATTTTTAGGCCCTTTTTCTAAGAGGATTATTTTCTTAAATGATCCAGAATGTAATAATGATTATAATAAAATGCACTGTCTTATAAGAAGCCAGTGCTTCCCAACCGGAGAGGCTTAGAAAAATATAACGGGGATGGAAATTTTATTATTTAAATTATTGTTAATTTTTATTAAACACTATATTTCAGTTTTTTCAGTGAAATACATTTAGGAGTTCAGCTTTTGATACTGTAAAATGAGTTGATTTAAACAATGTCTCATCTTTCAAAAAAAAAATTGTTTAGAAAAATTTTTTATATGTAGTTTCAAAAATCTTGGAATAAAATAAATCATGTTATATTATAAAATTAAAATTAAAATTTTTAATTTTGTGTTAATGGTTATGTTCTGTAGACAATACAAATCGTATTTGTTTACCATAACCATAAATTCATTTTAGAAAATAAAGTGGTGCGACGGTACAATTTAGAATAACTATATTTTTAAAAACTTGAATATGGATTTATTTTTATAAACGTGTCGAATAAATCGATGGACGGAGAGCATGGTCAAAGATATAAATATTTGTATCCGCTTTATTACCCAATAAGCACAGATCGCTTTTAAAACGTTTAAAAAACGTTAATATTCGTTTTTATAAGTTTTTTAAACGTTTTAAAAATGTCCTGTGCTTACTGGGTAGAAATTTCCTATACCCTTATAACAAAAAAACTATGTGATTAAGGATTTAACTTATTTTTGCTAGATTTTTTGCTACCATAAGGGCCCTATCTATGTCTCCTCTGGGCCTCTAAGTACCAGTCCGACCCTGCTCAGATGGTCTAGCAAAGGAACTGTAATAATCATATTAAAATAATTCGAAGTGCAATTTTTAAGGTTTTTTCAAAGCATATTTGAAGGTGTTGATTTCTTAGTGAAGATACAACATCATGCTTGAATAAGATTCAAACTATAAAAGTATCATTAGCATATGTTTGCACAATCATGTAATTAAAAAAGTTGTAACAAAAACATGTCTTGTTATACACAGTGCAATAATATAATCAAAACTTGTTATTAACTTTAGTGGAGAAGAAGAGGTTGCATGATTAAATGTTTAATTGGTATTTAAAGTAGCCTAGCCACGCCTCTGAAAGTATACTTGTTATCAGAGGCAATTCTACGAATATAATGAATGGGGGGAGGGGGACTATAACTTAAAAGTTGCCTTCTTTGGGGGAACATCCCCCCCTTCCACACACACACACACACACACACACACACACACACACACACACACACACCCGTAAAATTGCCTCTGCTTGTTGTTTCTAATTTTTGCCTAAAATAATAAAAGTTTTACTCAGGGTGTATATGAAAAGGAAAATCCAAAATTTGTTTTAACTGAAATAATAACTTTGATTTTTTTTAAACAAATAAAAGAAAATATTTAAAAAACAAAGTTCTATATAACGATATAAAATATGTCAATTCAAGTTTCTAATTAAGTTATACTCAAAGTGTTTTTAACCTCCATCAAAGAATTGAAATTATTTTTTTCAATGAAATTTTGTATATACTAGATGTCTAACTTTGTTCTGAAAAATATACTAGATATCTAACTTTGTTCCGAAAAATAAAGCCGCTCTTGCCCATCTTCTTTAATTCACTTCTTAAACTCGTAAACAAATATTATTTAAATTTTCTTTTCTTAAAAATTAAGTAAATATATTTTAAATATAAATATTATTTATTTAAAAATAATTACTGTACTTGTAAAATAATAATTTATGTTTCATATATTCATTTCCCATTACATATTGAATAGAAAAGTGAAACGGCAGACGCTTTTTAGGCATTTTTATGAATTACAATATTTTTTAATAAACCTCATAATAAAAACTTTTATAAGTATTTTATAATTATTAAAATGTGTTTTTCAATTATCTTTAATTTATTGGGAACTTTTGATTGTTTTAACTTGCATTTTTATGATTTATTCTATATATGGAATAAAAGTTAAGAACATTAAAAGTTATAATTTTTGATGTTCTTCACTTTTTTTCGTCCAATAAAACCCCGGAAGTTAGACAAGTATTTCACATAATATTTTTACATTGGTTTTATAATTTTACATTGGTTTGTTTAAATAATCACTAAGTTATGAAACCGAAATACTATTAATAATAGTATAAAAACTGGAATACATAATAGTCTATTGTGTATTCGAGTTTTTAATTTCATTCCAACCGTTTATTATTGCTGTAGTTTGGTTTTAGTTGTCATATATGTAGTAAAACTTTTTTTTTAATAGTATATTCAAGATGAAAAAATGTTAAACAACGCAGCAGACAGAGGCGTTTTTAAGGTGGTGGGGTGGTGGGTGTTCTATCCCCCTATGAGGGAGTGGATGGAAAAGAAAACCTGGCTAGTCGGGTACTTTACACAATTTAGTCGGCTAAAAAGTCGGCTAGTCGGGTATCTTTCACAATTCAATCGGGTAAATTTTAGCTTTTAGGACCTTTTTTTTATCTTTATTTTTAAGGAACCAGTAGGTACTTTTTAAGGATTCACCCCAACCCTTTTATTTTATTTATAGAATTGCTTCTGTAGCAGACATTCCCTAGACACGCCCCTGTATATAACATATTAACCCTGTGTATAACCCTGTATTTAACATATATTATACATATTATGTATATTAAACATATACATTATGTATATGAATATATATATATATATATATATATATACATATATATATATATATATATATATATATATATATATATATATATATATATATATATATATATATATATACATATATATATATATATATATATATGTATATATAAATATATATATATATTCATATACATAATGTATATGTTTAATATACATAATATGTATAATATATGTTAAATAAAAAATTTATGTTTAAATTCTTTAAATATCGAAAACGCTTACCATTCTGCGTTCGATTTCATTAAAATTTATTTGATCAAACCGTGAGAAAATTTTTTATTGATTAAGAAATTTAATATTACACGCATGGTTTACAGTGACGGCATTATTTAAAGTGACTGTGCGGTTGAATTTGACGAAAAATGGTGTAAAGTGAAAATATATTAAACGAAAAAAGTATTGTTTAAAAATCCTAATAATGCAAACAAACAGAAAAATGAAAACAAAAGTAATTTAAAAAGTCGCGCGTACTTGTTAACTATTTGATTTTTTATTTTAATCTGAAGCCGCCGCAAAGAAACGTTTTAAATGCCAAACAAACAAGGCAGTTTTATATAGTGTTTAACTTTGTAAACTTAAAGTTCCACAAAAGTTGCAGTAAAGAAAACACAGGTATGAGTTAAAATATTTAAAAATAAAATTTAATCTCAAGAATAAAGTTATGTTAATTAAATATTAATAATGATGTTTAGATAAAGTTAGAAAAAAAAAGTTTTAAAAAGTTTTCAAATGTTTAAAACGAAACGTAAACAAAGTATAAAATGCTTTTAATAATTAAATTATTTGGCTATAACTTTTGAATTTTTTCATACATTTTAACTACTTAACAATTAAATTCCATTTTTGTTAGAAAAAAATTAGATTTTTAAGTTTATATTTAATTTAATATTAAATTTAAAAGTTATAAATAATAATAATTTGGACGACTTTTAACTTTTTATTCTTTCGACTATTCTGCGTGATACTGACGCACGCTTTTTTCACTAAATCGTTTTAAAAATTGTCAAAAACGTTAAACTTATAAACGTATCTAATTAATATTTAAGCGTAAAACCGTCTTTAGAAAGAAGCGCAGTTTTCTATTTAAGTAGCGATAAAACATAGTCACACACACAAAAAAAAAAGTTATTCGAGCAAAAGATTATGTTATAAAAACATAAATTTCTAATAAATCTTTTATTTTATTAAAAAAATTTATATTTAAAATTAGAAATCTTTTTAAAAATAATAACTATTAAATTTGATTTTTATTTTATTGTTTAGTTTATCATGAGTTTTAAAACTGAGGCTTTAAATCGACATAACGAGTATCGTAGAAATCATGGTGTTGGGAGCTTAACGTGGTCTTCGAAATTGGAATCAAGTGCTCAGAATTGGGCAAATAATCTTGCCAAAAAAGGTTATATGCAACATGAACAACAAAATGTTTATGGAGAAAACATTGCTGTCATGAAAGGTATATTTTTTTAGAGAAAATTTTCCGATTTATGTTTGCGCGCCACAACAGACACACACAAACACACACACAAATACATGAGGCCACTTGCCAATCCTATTTAGGGCTTGCTTCCGGAATTTGAAATAAAGAAGCCACAATTCAAATCTTGTGTTGACCCCCTGCCCCCTCCTCCAAACAGACACTCTGTTTCAAACATGTTGGTAATAACTTTTTGTTTTATCAGTTTTCATTTCATTCAGTTTTCGTTTCATTTCATTCATTTTATCAGTTTTCATTTCATTCCCCCGTATCAGAAATAAAAAGCATGTTTCAAAAATTTCAACTGTTATATATTTTATTCAGTCAACTATAAAGCAAACGCAGTTATCACATACATCATATCAGTTATCACGTACATCAGATAGATTATTTTAAGATTATCTTATCTAATTTGAAAAAGAAAAATAAGTTCAAAGATAAGCTAGAATAGAAGTTTTAAAAATTCTACTCAAATAAAACTTGTATTATGTTATCTGAAAACGTTTTTTTCATACAGTTTTTCCTCTGTACAAAAAAAAAAAAAAACGAAAAACAAAACAGAACAAAAAACAAAAAAACATTATTGATAACGTTTTCCCCTCTATACAAAATAATCAAAAAATTTCGCAAATTGTTTACTAAAATATTATAAATATTTAACTTTATTGACATTTTAATGTGACGTTTTTAATTAAGTAATGCTCAGTTAAAAATTGCATCTGGGGCAATATTAACTTAACGGCTTTAAACTATACTATTTTCTATATATTCTTAATTTAAATATACAATTTTAGGTTCAGAATTGACTGGAGGTAAAGCTACTGATATGTGGTATGACGAAATAAAAGATTATAACTTTAATAACCCTGGATATAGTTCACAAACTGGACACTTTACCCAAGTAAGTAAGAACAAGCCTAAATTTCTTTTTATTAGTTTTCTTGAACGTAATCTTGAACGTAATAAAGGAGTCGACTCTTTTGAAAGGTCGTTTGGGCAGATTCAAAAGAGTTAGGGATGGCTAAGGCGGTTTCATCTAATGGAATGGAGTTTGTGGTAGCGAGGTATTTTCCTGCCGGAAACAATTTGCGAACTTTTAAAGAAAACGTGAAACCTCCTGGTTCAAAGAAAGTTGTCTCAAATAACACTGTCAATGTTTCGCCAACGAAAAACGTAACAAAAACTAAACCTTCACCAGTTAAGCAAAGTAAAGCTAATCCGACTACAAGTAAACAATCGACTAGTATGGATAAAGGTGACTCCACGAGACAATGTAAGTTATTTTATACAATTTTATCTTTTGACAATTATTTTAATAATTGATTTTTACTTAAGATTAGTTAATAATATTTAGTTTGTTAAAATGTTTAAAAAACTTCTCATGGTAATTGCTTCTCACTTTCACATATAAAAAGGAAAGTTTAACTTCAAGTCAGCGAAGGTTCCAGAATATTGAGCATTCGAGACTAACCTGTTGTAGTGCCCTTTTCCTCTGTGCCCACTATAACTAATTATTTAATATTAACTTTTAATATAGAATGCTATGTTATGCTATTCATATATTTTTTGTTTTAATTCGTATTTATATTTAGTAGAATCTATGCAATCGTATGTATGTATAATCGTATATTATATTACTTTACTTTTTGAGCTTTTGTTTCAGTAGGGTAGAGCAGGGCTAGTTAAGCATAAGCGCAAGTTGGGCATTTAAAATATCACGAAAACTAAGCATCTATGACAAAACATCTAGTGGGGAAATAAAATGGTAACACAATACGCAACAAAAGGTTTTTGCACGACAGTTGAGTAAAATGCACTTGCTCTTACTGTTTTGAACCAAAAAAAATTAAAAAAATAGTAACAATTTGTCATCAATAAAAGTCCGATAAATTGACACTTATGTGATCTGCCATCACATAAGTGTCAATTTATTGGACTTTTAACTATAAATTGCTTTCCTGAATCTTACTGTTCTCTTTAAAACGTGTTTCATCTTTTTTAGGGGCAAGTTTTTTTAGGGGTAGCTTTACGGGGCGAGTTATGTGATTGCGAATTGCGAAGGGATTTAGCGATCCTGAAACTATTTGAAGCAATCACAATCGTGATCGCTAATCAACTTGTTTCTCCGCGCAGCGGCCTTATTTGTCAAGGTTCGTGTTTCGGAGTTATAGAGTTAAGAAAGGGTTATAACCACAAATAAGTAGCCTCCTCATCTGTAGTGGCCTTCTCGGCCTTGGGGAGGTGAATCACAAAAAAAAAAATTAAAAATAATATTCCTTGATAAAAGTTTTTATAAAAAAAAGGATTCATGTTTCACGACGATGTTGACACAAAAACCGTCGGACTAATACTACCTTATTTTATATATTGTCTGTTAGGTCGGGCACAGGAAATTTTAAAATAAAAGCGTGCAATTTTCGGACCACGAATATCACCAAGAAATAGTTATTTTTAAAGTTTAATTATTTGGATAGGCTTGAAAGTTGCAACAAAAATATTATCTAAAAATGATTAATGTAACAGCTGCGTTCCTGTTGTAACAACAGCTTTTCTTAAACAACAGCTTAACAACCCCTAATCATCAGACTCAAAAAGAATAATTTAGTTAAAAGATTGAAACTGAAAATGAAAATGAAAAGCAGATTAAAAAGGAAAAGCCGAAAAATAATGAAAAGCAGATTTGCTAAAATGAAATCGTCTGATAATTTCTCCGATGCAACTCTCCTAGACCAAAGGTACATAAAATACTTTTTCAGGTCTCAAACATTTCAATTTGATGATCAAATTGAAATGTTTGAGAATAGAAAAAGTATTCAATCAGCGTAAAGTTTCGTATAATAGTTAATTTCTTTCGTCAGTAGTCCGATTCTGTATAATAGTCAATTTACAAAAAAATGTTTCTAAAAACAAGTCCCAAGGAGGGGAGGGGGCTACTTCTCTACGCCCCCCTCCCCCTAAAACCCGCCACTGAGGTTAACATCTGTATTATCAAAAAATAACTTCTGAATAATTTTTTTTTTTGATAATACGAGGGATTTTGTCCCAAATGAGTTGCATATATATTTGAAATCAAAATGACAAATGTTATTCAAAAAACATTGTTTGCTCGGCACAAGAAAAATTTTGTTGTTGTTTATTTACAGAATTTGAAAATAATTTACAACGAAAACAAATTGTTTTGTCTGTATGAATTGAATAAACTAACCATCGTCTGTCAAGTGTCTCACATGTCAAAAATTGTTCTTGTAATGTCTTTTGTAATGTACTGTAGAAAAACGCCTGCTGTCCAACAACCTCTTTCCAATTGGCTTCAGCATCATTCATGAATGCTATGTCATCCACTTTTAAATAATTAAACCTAGAACGGAAACGTTTAACAAACAGAAAAAAGCTTATATTTTTCCGTTTTGTTAAAGAAATAGTTATGAAACTGAGGATATTGAAATATTTGTTGTATTTTGTATGACATTTGCGTCGCCTAAAAAAAAAAAAGCCCTCTATTTTTAAGATATTTTAGGACTTTAAGATTCTGGTGGTGATGGATCTGTCATTGGTTTAGATTTATTTAATTTCATGTATATACTATACGCACTTCGGATTTTATAAACATTCACTCGAGAATTACATTGTACGGAATTAATGAATTTCATTGTGCGGAATTAAAGAATTTCGTTGTGCGGAATTAAAGAATTTCGTTGTGCGGAATTAAAGAATTTCATTGTGCGGAGTTAATGGTCCAAAGGAATTACAGTGTTGCAATCTTTAATAATCGTCCAAATAGTAAATTATATAAATCGTAAATAATCCAACGGGAATCCATTGTTGAGATGATTAAATCGTTAATAATTATCAAAAAAAAATTGTCGAAAAGTTGAACTAATTAATCTATTTAAAATGAACACATATATTTTTATCTAGATTTAAATTTTTTTCTGCTTATTAATTAAAATCGGCGACCCAATATAACTGCCAAGTTTGTTTAAGTGGACGAAACCTGGAGATTTATAGTGTTGTTGTTAACACTATAACATCTTCACATCAGTTCTTATTCTTATTCTGAAAAACATAAAATGGTGACATTTTTAAACATATTTATATAATTTATTAAATAAAACAACTTTTTATTGATAAAACATAGATATTATTATCACAATATTTCGAGGAAATACGGACCCCTTCGATGTCTAGTACATAAAAGATTCAAAAACTAAAACGAAAAGCGTTATAGTTAATAAAAAATCAAAACACATTCGTTGTAGTTATACCGTTATATTGTTATTATGATAACAGTATTGTTTTTAGTTGAATGACAGTCTTAGTTAGAATTTTTATTTATATGAGGTATTGTTTGGTATATATTTGCAATTATACGCTAAAATAGTCATATTTTGAATTTGATTCCATATTCTGCTGTTAATTGTTTTTTTTATCAATAAGTTTTTGTGTTTTTTTATGTATAGAACAATTGTCTCGTTTTTCCTACAGGAAACTGCAGTTAAAATTTTAATTTTTTTTAGTTTAGCTCTGCCCTCTCCTACTTAAAATCGAGACAATGGCAACCCTAATTATGTCAGTGGCGGATATAGGTCATTGTCTTAGAGGAAGGGGGGGACGGGGTTAGTTTAAAATCGAAACTCCAAATATCACTTATTCATTTGATAATTTATGGTTAAAAAAGAAAAAAGAACTTTTTTTCCATTTATAACAACAATGTTAAATAACTATTCATAATTAATCTACAAATAATATAAAGTATATTTTTATATTAAAAATATTAAAGTTCAAGTACTTTCATATATAATATAGGGAAAATTTGATAAGTAAGGGTGCCAATCAGGATTGCTATCCCAGGCGGCGTGACAGCTCTCGGCGACCCTGCACAATGTAAAACATGTATTAAATTTTATGTAATCTATATTTTTAGTTTACTTAAAATTCCTTGTTTGGAGATATTTTAACATTTCATTGCAATAAGTATAAAGTCCCTGAAAAGCACTTTTTAGAAACAGAATCATTTAGGGTTGATCAAATAATGGACAAATTAAATTATTTAAACAGGCCCGTACCGTGGGGGTGGGGGTTTTTTATAAATCATTCTCATAAACAATTTTTACTTTATTGTTTCACAAAAATAAGGCGTCATTACAAGTCATTACATTGTGAAATCTTTTGTAAACGAAAAATGAAAAATAATCTCTCCAGAGTTTATACTGTAATTATAATTCTCTTCTAATACTAATTCACTTTTAAAAGCAAACGATAGAGTTAACATGCGTAACCAAATTAGAAAACGAACAGCTGATAAATGCATATCGTTAGCTGGATATTTTAAATAAAAAAGTTATTTTGATCTTCTTTTTATAATAATTAGTTTGATATTAACTAGAGATTAACTAGATGTAAAAATAGATATTATCTATGCGTTAAATTTTTTTTATGATAGTACTTTTGTTATTATTTGTTTTTTATTGTGATGTTTACGCGAGTTTTTTTAATTTTGGTATAATTTAACCCTTTAACAGTCCCGTGTTGTTTTTAAAATACGGTCGCTATTAGTCCGGCTTTTTTTTTGAAGTGGTCTCTAAATGTCCCGTGTTTTATCAAAACATTACGTTTTTCAAACAAAAATTAAAAAAAAGTTTTTATTATTTTCAACACTAATAAACACAATAAAATTTGATTATTCAAGTTTAAGAATATACAATCATACTATATAAACACAAAATTTTATTACTAATATTCACTTCTTGTATGATAATTTGCAAAACATGGAGCAACACAAAGTCCTACATCACAATCTACACATTCAAATCTCGAATCTTTTCGAACTTTATTTTTGTAACAAACAACACACCTTCTCTGACTCACACAACTAAAATGTTTTTATTCCAAATCTGGCACTTTTCCTGCGAATACATTGTTTCCAAGATAGTCTACCTTTCCACAACAAAAGAGATTCATCTACAGATATACTTTGTGTTGGTGTATACACTTCTTTGTATTTATTAGTAAGATAATCCCATACTACGCTTATTTTAGATAGAACAGGATGTTTATTTGGTAATGTAGCAGAATCAACAAAATGAATAAATTTGTCCATTAACTTGAAATTGTTATAAGATAACAACCACTTAATACCAGTACTTGGAAACAATAGATTTGTTGTATAATACATTTCATACCTGAGCCAGTATGACTGAAGATAGACTTGGTGCATTAGCCATCACGAATATCCACTATAATGAAGTTGTTGACTATAAACAAGTCTCAAAATTATTTTTTACTTTACATCCTAGAAAATTTAAATAAAAATTTAAACCATTTATCAAAGTATTATTAATCTTTATATTGATACCCATATTCTAACAAGCAGCTCACTTATACGCCTATGCAGTACAAAAATAGAAAAAATATTCGGAGAACAATAAATTTGTTTATGTAAACATTGTTAACACAAATATAGCTATGTTTTACGAAAATTTTATTAAGTAAATTTAGTAAGATATTTTTTTGGTGTTTTAAAACTTTACACGTCTTGTCAAGGACGAATTCAAAGGGTTCGCGAAGGGTGCGATTGCACCCCTCCCCTCCTCTTCGTTACATGATTTGAAAAACCATTTTTTTGTATTTAGTTTTTGTACCCTTTTATAAAAAAAGCATACTTGATATGTTGATTACTTTAACAACTTATATTATATATATATATATTATATATATTATATATATTACAAATTCTAATTTACGTTTTCCCGACTTTGCAAAACGGGGAATCACGTTTTCAATATTTACTGGAATATCTCTGTACACGTTAAGTAAGGCCAATTCGACTAGTCTGTTATCTGTCATTCGTGTTCTCAGCCAATTTTTAATTCTTCGTAAGGTTGAGAAGCTACGTTCAGCACTGGCGACACTTGCAGGACATAAATTGATAATTTAAAACAATTTGTGATTGATTGGATATTGCACCAGGTCACACAAATCAAAAACAACAGAAAAATCAGTAGGTAGAGATGTGATTCCTCACTCATCTTTCATCTTTATACATTTTCACCTCCATATTTCAACTTCCGATGTAAATTCAGCTGCAAGTAAGTTTTGGATACTAAGTCCAAGAACGACGCTGCGTCTCGTCTCCTTATTTATTATCAGCATTATTTATTACTACCTTATTATTACAACATTTTATTTAACTTGCTTTCTTGTGTGTTTATTTTTTTTGGTGTCCGCGCAAAACAAAAACGAGGTCAGTGGTAATAATAAAAGAAATCGTTTAAAAAAGTAATTAAAACAAACAATAAAAACAAACTTTTAGAGTTTTAGTTTAGCTTAAATAAATAGAATCGCTCTTGAATTATAAAAAGAATATATAAAAAAACTTTTTCAAAACAACATTTAAAAAATGGACTAAAAAGTAAAAAATATATGAAAAAACTTTTTAAAAACAACATTTTAAAAATGGACTAAAAAGTAAAAAATAAACTATTTCATGGGACCCAAAGACTTTATGTGCGTACATAACTTGAAATATCCATTAAAGTCAATGACTGAAAATGTAGGGCAACTAAGTACGACTCGTTCCTATTGGCGCCCAATATTTTTAGTCATTGACTTTAATGGATATTTCAGGTTGTGTACGCACACAAAGTCCTTGGGTACCATGAAATAGTTTATTTTTTATCTTTTAGTCCATTTTTAAAAAATTGCTTTTAATATATTTTTCTACTCATTCGTTCTAAGCTACCGCGTTCCGGTACTTATTATTTTGGCAAAACACCACTGAGTAGCTCCAACCTCAATTATTTCTAAAAAAATCAACTAAACTAACTTTTTTAAACTAAATTTTAAACTAAATTTTTTTAAATATTTATTTTTTCTAATTTTTGAAACATTTTAAGAAAACTTAACTTGGAATAAAGTTCGGTATTTTCTAACCACAAAAGGTTGCAGTTAAAATGTAGTTCACTCAAACCTCTTGTACAAAGTTATACAAAAAGCAACAATTACCAATGAAAAATGATTGCAGACAATTATGCGAGTTGCATTAATTTACCCCCCCCCCTCACACACAAATTATAAAATCCCTCCCCCCTCAAACACACACACACACACACACACCCTAAAATTGCCTCTGAATGTCGCCACCATTTAACCAAAGAAGCATCGAATTGACTTTGTTGGCTTAATAAGCGAGAAGAAAATGTAAGCAAAAAGTTCAAACTCGAATTAAAAGAGAGACAAAAAAGTATGCGTTTTCTTTTTTTCCTTTAAAAACTGTTTTGTGCAATATTTTGGAAAAAATTGCCGTAGAGATATTTACTAGCAACGATCCACCATTACGGATTTATTTTTTTCAACCAACCAATCATCGGGATATTTTTACTGTTACCATTTTCTTGGTAACAAATACCTCGATATTAATAATAACTGAAAGAAGGTAAACCTATCAGAGTTGGCATTAAAAACCTCATTATTGTTATTTAATTTGATTTATTAACTCTTTAATTTGTAAATTTTTTAGAAGTTAAGAAAGTAATGTGATTTATAAGATATCAACTGAAAATTAAATGTGATGCTTTTCTAAAATAAGATGCGTATTTCCTTTATCACTAAAATTGTTTTATGATTTCAAAAATAAATAAATTAAAACTAAAAAAATAAATATTTTCTTTAGCCGAAAAAGATTTTAAAACCGCATTGCGAAAAACGCATAACATGTATCGAAAACGGCATGGGGCCGCACCGCTTAAATGGAACAGTAGCTTAGCACAAGCTGCTCAAGAAGCAGCCGAAGAGGCAGCACAAACAAACACTCTTCGTTCTGTAGATACACCAAACGTCGGGCAAAATATGGCTGCTATGACAGGCGGAGAGCTTCCCGGTGATCGGGTGTCAACAATGTGGTACGATGAAGAAAAAAATTTCGATTACAATAACCCAGGTTTCAGTTCAAGCACAGGTAACTGTTCTTTTTATATTCATTTATATTTAATTTTTGTTTTTATTTAGAGCTTATATATAAAAATATATATAAAGTATTATAGTAAAAGTTCAATATAAGTTTATATCAATAATAATATAAGTTAAGTTATATAAGTATATAAAATATTTATAAGTATATATTAATAATAGTATAACAATAGTATATAAGTTAATAATATAAGTAGTAATAATATATAATAGTAAAAAAAATATATAATAATATAAATACAGGAGAGTTGCTGAAATTGGAAAACTTAAGGAACAAATATTTGTTAACCAAAGATGGTTATATTAAAAAAAAATTTATGATTTAATTAACAGACAACCCTAATATACTTTTAACCATAATTCGACTTAATTGATTGTACTGATATTGGAAAAATCGTGACCATTTCTTAAATTTGAACACTTTGTTTCTTTGATCTTTAAAATAAAAATCAGTAAAGCCAACAAAAATTAATTAAATTTTTTTTATTTTGTTCAAGTCTTTTGATAAGTCAAAACTTATAATAAGAATAATAATTTCCGGGCAAAATTAAATTCTACAAACAAGAAATTGCACAAAAGCTTTAATTATTATAACTTCATTTATTGATTAAAAATCACTAAATATAAAAAATAAAGTATTATTTTTGAGCTTTATGATTGTAAGTTTTAAATTGCCTGAACTTTTTCTTCAACCATTTCAGTTTATCACTAAGATTAAGGAAAACTTTAGTTTCAATCAAGAAAACCTTGGACTATTTTTGACTGTTGTTATTTGCATTTTAAATCCTATTGTCTTAAACACAATAAACCTTGTTACCCATGGCAACATTAACATAATTAGATCATCGAAAAATAAAAATAAAAGCTTTAAAACGATTGTGCATGAACATTTTTTAAGGGATAAATTTCCGAATCTCTCAAAACGTAGAAAATATAACGTTTTACTAAAAAAATGCAAAATAAGGTCATAATACATTTTATTTCCAAAATAAATGCTAGTGTTTATTAAATTAAGGTTTTCCAATTTTGGCAACTCTCCTTTACAATAGTATATAAAATCTTTAATTCTTAGGAAGTTTCACGCAACTTATATGGAAAAGTACAAAAGAAATGGGAGCGGGTAGAGCGTTTGGGAAAAATGGCCAAACTTTTGTTGTTGTTTTATATAAACCACCAGGAAATATTAGAAGTCAATACGTAGAAAATATTGGAAGACCTACTGGACCAGTTCCCAACTTATCAAAAAGTAAAAAGGGAAGTTCTTGCCAGATAATGTAAATTTATTGCTTTTCTAAATGTTAGATATATGTTGAAATTATATTTCATTTTTTATCATAAAGTTTATAATCCAATACTCATCTTCAATTGTTGACATAATTATGACTTCAATTGAAGTATATGACTTCAGAAGAACTTTTTTTTATGAAAAATCAAATTTCTTATGAAGAGTTTTGTTAAAATGTAGATTTTTGTAAATGATATTTAAATAATAGATAAATATGTTTCAAGTTATCATTTTTGTATTTTTTAACATTTATTTGTCTAAAAAAAAAAACAAAATTATTTGTATTGATGTTGATTGCTTTTATGATTATTCTTATTATTTTCAAGACATCCTTATTATTTTTATATCTTATTATTTTTATATCTTATTATTTTTATATCTTATTATTTTTAAGACATCCTGATAATATTTTAAGACATCTGACAAAAAAATGCAAATTTTAAGATATTTTCTTTAATTTAATTTTTTACAAAAAACCACATTTTTTAATAGAAGTTTTAAGTAATAGTTTTTAATGATTGAAATAAAATATTCATTCTAAACCACAACCTATGGTATTCTGCTATCTTTAATAAATCAGATTTGGTTCTTTAAAAATGCCCACTGTTCAGATCCGTTATAAAGCCCAATAATATTTCTTTGTCTTTACAACTTTAGCTTAATTGAAACTTTTGAAATGTTTCAATTATGTTGGAAACTGAATTTGTCTCAACAATATGCTGCAAAATTTTCACATTGTAAAGTAGTTTACTGCATTCATTTTCCTCAAATTAGCTAGATATGAGCTAAGTTAAAGTTAGAGGGTTTCTTGAGACATAGACTCCAATTTGAGCAGTTTTAAGAACTTTGAAGAGATGATTAACAACTATTAAGAGAATATTCCATCGGTGGGATGATTTCCAGAATATGAATATTGTCAGGCCCGCTGGCTTTTGAATGACATGCCAAAAAACTTTACACTAGCAACAACCTCGTTGGATTGCTGAAAAGATTTAAGACTTGGTTTTATTGACCTTAGTGTTTGCAGTATGGGTTAAACTCTTGCATTTAACTTCACACCATTTGAAAGAATGCATTTCGTAAATGGTCTAAAGACCTATACTTAGATCATTTGCAACTTTCATGAAATAAGCCAAAATCAATTAAATTTTTTTTTTTACCGTGTCAAAAAGAAGACATGTTTTCTTATCACCAAGCCCCGTTATATCTTATACCTACGCTTTATTGAATAAGAAATTTTAACATCGAATCAAAAATATTCACCTATATATTTGCAAATGTCGAATGTCGAATCTTATAAAAGACATTTTTTTACTATTTTAATTATAAAAATATACAGAGCTTCCTGCCTTAGTGATAACAAAAATTATGCAGCTGTGCCGCAACAGTTAAGTTCTAGTTCAGAAGCCAGAGGTTGATACCGGTTCCAGCCCATTCCAGCTACATTGGTAGAGAAGAAGGCGTGAACTTCATAGTTAAATGTTCTTCCGCTGTGCTCTGTGATACAAGCGCAAAGACTTCTGGGAGCACCTTAATAACTACAGTAAAAAAATTAGAAAAAAAATAAATAAAAATAGTATCATTAAATTAATATATTTTTTTTCTTATTACATTATTAAATTGTACACTGATTTTTATATAATAAAAATGTAATAAAAAAAACTTAAATTTCATATTTTAAATAATAATATAAACAGAATGGGACTCTAAAAAGATACAAATAATACGAAGTTTAGTCACGTGATTTTTTCTTGCAAAAAAAAAAACGTAGTTTGTTTTTGAAAAGCTTCGTTCAAAAAAATGCAAAAAGAGATTTTAGGTAGGTGTGGAGAATTACAAACCCGCCCATGAAAATTACAAATACAAATATATGCTTTGGTATCGTTTTTTTCAGAAAAGAAAGTAGAACATTTATTTAAGCGAAGACGACATTTTTTTCTTTTGAATTAGTTATTTATAAATAACTAATTCAAAAGTAAAAAAGGTCGTCTTCGTCTCAACTAACTGTTATGGAACAATGTTGAATAATTTACAAATATACTTGTAAATTATTTAACTTTGTTTCATAACAGTTAGTTGAGACAAATCCATCTTCACATGGTAGTAGGTTCTTCAACTATTTATTAGTAATGTGTGTGAATTCTTAAAAACATTTTTCGTGGTTAATTAGGGTGGGTTTTTTGTTTTCCAACTGGTGATTTGTAGAATTCCTCCCGTTCTATGCAGTCAAAATAATGATACAAATAAATATACAAAAAGCAATGTTGAACATAAAAAGCTATTCTGTATTGGTGACATGAACATAAATTACCTAAGCTATCATGAACATGCTAATACCAAAATTTTTTTCGATGATATGATACAACATTAACTTTTTCCCAATTATAAACATACCCACCCGGGTAACTCCCACCTCAATTACAGCTATTGACAATATATTGACAAATTCAATTCAAGATCCATCCATAAAAGTAGGAATAATTAAAACGGATATATCTGACCACTTCCCAATTTCTTCTCACTATCACAACAAGCAACACGTGTCAATAACTTGAAAATAAAAATCATCAAAAAAAGCATAAATAAATTCTCAACCCAAAAACTAAAAGACTCACTAGCGGTAGTAAATTGGTCAAAAATATATCATGAATGTAACCTCGGACACAGAAATTCCGCTTACAATAAGTTTATAAATATTTTCCTAAATCTCTACAATAAACATTTTTCAAAAGTCGAAAAAGAAATTAAAGCAAAATACCTAACCACTCCATGGATTACCATGGGAATAAGAAAATTGTCAAAACAAAAACAAAAACTCTACATAAAATATCTAAAAAATAGAAACCATTTTAATTTGTCTAAGTATAAACAATATAAAAATCTATTTGAAAAAATAAATTTAAAATCCATATATTATAACTATATTTTTCAAAGCAAATACAAAAATTTAAAGAAGATAATAAAAAAATCTGGGATATTATAAAAGAAATAATTGGTAAAGATGAAAAAAACTCGAACCTCCAAAAGTTCTCATAAGTGAAAAAGAGTTTAATAATGAAAAATTATCTCTGAAAAACTTAACAAATACTTTGCAAGTATAGGTTCCAAACTCGCCTCTAAGATTCAACCTACAAACAATTCATTTGAGAATTACATCGAGGACTCTCGTTGCTCCCTAGTTTTTAAAGAACTAGAATACGAAGAACTTGAAACAGCAATTAAAACATTAAAAATTAACAAAGGTCCAGGTATCGACAATATCCCAGCCAATATTATTTTGAATGTCTTCCCAGAAATAAGTAAACCCAATTTTCAAATATTTAACTCTTTAATAATTACAGGAATTGTACCCGACTATTTAAAAATAGCTAAAATTATTCTATAAATCTATTATTATTTATATATTATCTATAAATCCGGAGATACATCTTCCTTAAATAATTACAGACAAATATTAATCCTTCCCGTATTGTCAAAACTGCTCGAACGAATAATCTACAATCGTTTATATAAATACCTAACCACAAACAAAATCCTGAATGAAAACCAATATGGTTTTCAAACTCAGCACTCGACAGAGCATGCTATCGTAAACCTCGTAAATAGAATTAGTGAATCAATCTATGAAAAGAAGTTCGTATTAGGAGTCTTTGTAGACTTGTCAAAAGCGTTCGAAACAATAGATCATGAAATCCTACTTAAAAAGTTGGAAAAATACGGATTAAAAAACCATACACTGCAGTGGTTTAAAAGTTACCTGTATAACAGACAACAGTGTGTTATTACAGATGATAATTACCTCAGTAAATTATTAAAATTAACTTGTGGTGTTCCTCAAGGTTTGATTTTTGCTCCTCTTTTGTTTCTAATCTATATAAACGACCTTCCAAAAGTTTCTAGCAAACTTGAATTTATAATATTTGCAGACTATACAAATTTATTTTACTCTTCGACAAACATCAAGGATCTGTACTATAATGTAAACATAGAACTCCAAAAATTAAATATATGGTTTAAAACAAATAAGTTATCCCTAAACATAGAAAAAACAAAATAACCTTTATTTCATTCAAACCAACAAAGAAACACACTACCAAATACTCTACCCTCTCTAAAAATAGAAAATATAGCAATTGAGAGAACTCACAAAACTGAATTTTTAGGAGTTTTAATTGATGAAAATTTATCTTGGAAAAGTCACATAAATGCTTTAAACATTAAAATATCAAAAAACATAGGTCTACTCTATAAAGCAAAACCTATGCTGTCGCAAAGTAATTAAACTTATACATTTCTCTTTTATACTTAGCTACCTCATATATGCGAATATAGCTTGGGCGAGTACGCATATAACCAAATTGAAAACTTTATATCGACGTCAAAAACATGCTGTAAGACTAATCTACCATAAAGACAAATTAACACACGCTGAACCCTTATTTAATGAAATGAATGTGCTTAATATTTATCAAATTAATATTTACCAAAATATATTGTTTATGCTAAAATTTAAATTAGGTCAAGTACCAAACCATTTTTTAAATAACTTTTTTATAAATAACGTTGATAAATATAACACAAGAGAAAAAGGAAACTTTATTACACCTTTCAAATAAACAAAACTTTCCCAGTTCTCAATTTCATATCGGGGTCCTTATTTATACAACAAACTCGTAACTAAAAATAAATCAATTTGCAATCTAGATAATCAAAATTCCTTGAAAAAAAAGTTAAAAAATCTGATACTGAATCTAAACAGATACTCAGAATTCTTCTAAGACTATAAATTAATATACATATATATCAACTACAAAATGAACTTACTCGTTTATGTGTATTATCTAAATGACTCTTACCTTTCTCAAACAATATATCAAAAATTGTTTATTACACACAGAAAAAACACTTGATTTTTTCTTATCAAGTTTAGTTATTATGCTGCTTGTTATGTCTAATATTTTATACTGAGCTTATTTTGAGTTTATTTTTTATTATGAGCTTAATTTAAAGAATATATAAATATAGTTGTACTTAATATATAATTATATTTAACATAATCATAATATATATCAAACACATTGTAAGGGCTTCGTGATAAGATCATTACGATCTTCTTGAAGTCCGGCCTGTACTATTTAATTATAAACTTCACTATATATTTTGACTCACGAGACTTGTAAATATTACTTTTAATTTACGAAACTTGTAAATGTTATATGTACGGCAA